CGACAACTGGAACTACACGCCACTGCATGAGGCGGCCAGCAAGGGCAAGGTGGACGTCTGCCTGGCCCTGCTGCAGCATGGTGCGAATCACACGATACGCAACTCGGAGCAGAAGACGCCCCTGGAGCTGGCGGACGATGCCACGCGACCGGTGCTAACCGGAGAGTATCGCAAGGACGAGCTGCTGGAGGCAGCCCGATCGGGGGCCGAGGATCGACTGCTGGCACTGCTCACGCCGCTCAATGTCAATTGTCATGCGAGCGATGGACGCCGATCGACGCCACTGCATCTGGCGGCGGGCTACAATCGCATTGGCATCGTGGAGATCCTGCTGGCCAATGGGGCCGATGTGCATGCCAAGGATAAGGGCGGACTGGTGCCGCTGCACAATGCCTGCTCCTATGGCCATTTCGATGTGACCAAGCTGCTCATCCAGGCGGGCGCCAATGTGAATGCCAACGATCTGTGGGCCTTTACGCCGCTGCATGAGGCGGCCTCCAAGAGCCGTGTCGAGGTGTGCAGCCTGCTGCTCAGCCGCGGCGCCGATCCCACGCTACTCAACTGCCACAGCAAGTCGGCCATGGATGCGGCACCAACGCGAGAGCTGCGCGAAAGGATCGCCTGTGAGTAATGCTCGAATATCCCCCACCTGTGAAATCTTCTCCTTATTGCTTACATCTTTTCAGTTGAATACAAGGGCCACTGTCTGCTGGATGCGTGCCGCAAATGCGATTTGTCGCGTGCCAAAAAGCTCGTTTGCGCCGAAATTGTGAACTTTGTGCATCCGTATACGGGCGATACGCCGCTCCATCTGGCCGTTGTCTGTCTGGATGGCAAGCGCAAGCAACTGATGGAGCTGCTCGCCCGCAAGGGCGCCCTGCTCAACGAGAAGAACAAGGCATTCCTCACACCACTGCACATGGCCTCGGAGCTGCTGCACTACGATGCCATGGAGACGCTGCTCAAGCAGGGGGCCAAGGTGAACGCTTTGGACAGTCTCGGCCAGACGCCGCTGCATCGCTGTGCCCGGGACGAGCAGGCCGTTCGTCTGCTGCTCTCCTATGCGGTCGACACGAACATTGTGTCGCTGGAGGGACTCACTGCCGCTCAACTGGCCTCGGACAGTGTACTGAAGCTGCTGCAGAATCCACCAGACAGCGAGACGCATCTGCTGGATGCGGCCAAGGCTGGCGATCTGGACACTGTGCGCCGGATTGTACTGAATAATCCGCACACTGTCAATTGCCGGGATCTCGATGGGCGACACTCGACGCCGCTGCACTTTGCCGCTGGCTTCAATCGCGTGCCCGTGGTTCAGTTTCTGCTGGAGCATGGGGCCGAGGTCTATGCCGCGGACAAGGGCGGTCTAGTGCCGCTGCACAATGCCTGTTCGTATGGCCATTACGAGGTCACCGAGCTGCTGGTCAAGCATGGAGCCAATGTTAATGTCTCCGATCTGTGGAAGTTCACGCCGTTGCACGAGGCCGCCGCCAAGGGCAAGTACGACATTTGCAAGCTGCTGCTAAAGCATGGCGCAGATCCCATGAAGAAGAACCGCGACGGCGCCACTCCGGCGGATCTTGTAAAGGAATCCGATCACGATGTGGCCGAACTGCTGCGCGGCCCGTCCGCTCTGCTGGATGCCGCCAAAAAGGGCAATCTGGCGCGTGTCCAGCGACTGGTGACAGCCGAGACGATCAATTGTCGCGATGCACAGGGCAGGAACTCGACGCCATTGCATCTGGCCGCTGGCTACAATAATTTCGAGTGCGCCGAATATCTGCTGGAGAATGGGGCCGATGTGAATGCGCAGGACAAGGGGGGACTGATACCCCTGCATAATGCCAGCTCGTACGGCCATTTAGATATTGCCGCCCTGCTGATCAAGCACAAGACCGTGGTGAATGCCACCGACAAGTGGGGCTTCACGCCGCTCCATGAGGCCGCCCAGAAGGGACGAACGCAGCTGTGCTCGCTGCTGCTGGCCCATGGCGCCGATGCGTACATGAAGAATCAGGAGGGACAAACACCCATAGAGCTGGCCACCGCCGAGGATGTCAAGTGTCTGCTGCAGGATGCCATGGCCACGTCGCTAAGCCAGCAGGGACTGAGCGCCTCCACGCTATCGCTGGCCGGTTGCTCACCCTCGCCGGAGGTGGCGGGCTGTGCCGCTGCTGGGGCTGCTGCTTCACCCGCTGCTGTGGCATCCACGGGCTCCGGCTCCGGTTCCGGTTCCGCCTCGTCGGCGATGCTGTCGCCAACGACAGAGACTGTTTTGCTGCCAACAGGTGCCTCAATGACGCTCAGTGTGCCCGTGCCGCTGCCAATGGCCAGCTGTACGCGCATCAGTCCCGCCCAGGGTGCCGAAGCCAATGGCGCTGAATCATCGGCCACGGAGGATCTGATGCCCGATGCAGAGTCAATAACGAATGTCTCTGGATTCTTGAGCAGCCAGCAGCTGAATCATCTGATTGAGCTGTTTGAGCGCGAACAAATCACTTTGGATATACTGGCGGAGATGGGACACGATGATCTCAAGCAGGTGGGGGTGTCCGCCTATGGATTCAGGCATAAGATACTCAAAGGTATTGCACAGCTAAGAGCCACCACAGGTACGAATCATACCTCTCTCCTCTCTCTTTATTCTGAACTATTTTTGATGCCTTTTTAGGCATTGGAAACAATGTGAATCTGTGCACATTGCTGGTGGATCTGCTGCCAGACGACAAGGAGTTTGTGGCCGTTGAGGAGGAAATGCAGGCCACAATACGCGAACATCGGGACAATGGCCAGTCGGGCGGTTACTTTACGCGCTACAATATTATAAGGGTATGTCTGCCACCTAAAGGCGAATTTTGAACGCATTTCTCAACTCTTTTTATGGCTTCCCGTTACTAGGTGCAAAAGGTACAGAATCGCAAACTCTGGGAGCGCTATGCCCATCGACGGCACGAGATCGCCGAGGAGAACTTTGTGCAGTCGAACGAGCGCATGCTCTTCCATGGCAGTCCCTTCATCAATGCCATCGTACAGCGGGGATTTGATGAGCGTCATGCGTATATTGGCGGCATGTTTGGTGCGGGCATTTACTTTGCGGAGCACAGCTCGAAGAGTAATCAGTATGTGTATGGCATTGGCGGCGGCATTGGCTGTCCCTCGCACAAGGACAAGTCCTGCTATGTGTGTCCCAGGTGGGAATTGCATCGCCTTAAACGTGAAGCCTTTTAATCTAACAATATTCCGGTATGTTGTTCCAGACAATTGCTGCTGTGCCGCGTGGCTTTGGGCAAGTCCTTTTTGCAATATAGCGCCATGAAGATGGCGCATGCCCCACCAGGCCATCATTCGGTGGTGGGACGTCCCTCGGCTGGTGGCCTGCACTATGCCGAATATGTGGTCTATCGGGGTGAACAGGTATGGATATTAATGAGACTTTAATGCAACAGAAATCATTTTTGTTTTTATCCTTTTGCACGCAGTCTTATCCAGAGTACTTGATAACCTACCAAATTGTCAAGCCCGATGACAGCAATAGTGGGACGGAGGACACAAGATGATGGATGCCCTCTGTTGGCTCCACGCCTACAACAACATCACCAGCATTGCAGCAACAGCAGCCACCACAGCTGCCAATGCCCCCACCAGCAAAAGTAGCAGCAGCAGCAGCCGCAGCAGTAACACCACCACCACCACAACAACAACAACAGCAGACCTCAGCTCCAGTTGCCAAGAGGCGGCCCAGGCATGCCAAGCAGCCCCTACAATTGCAATACCAACACTACCAGCCCCAACATCAGCAGCAACAGCAGCAGCACTCCTCGATGGGTGTGACCACCACCCAACCGACGCCTGCGGGCGTCTTTACGCACAACAATTGCAACAATAATAATGCTAGCCACACAAACAGCAGCAGCAACAGCAACAACAATAACAATGATATGTCGCCCATCTCGAACAGCAACAGCTACTCCTCGGTGGACACCAATCAGACGCTGCTCAATTCGCTGGCCCACCAACAGCGTGGCAATCGTCAGAGGCTGCAACAACAGCAGCAGCAGCAACAGCAGCAGCAGCCACAGCGCAGCCCAAAATATAGTCAATTTATGATCATCACACCCGCCGTTTCCATTGATCGCGACTTTGAGTACGAATCGCATTTGGATTATGAGGATTTTGCCAATGCCGCCCACAATAATGGGAATCTGTTTCGTTTGGGACTGCGGCGTAGCGACAGCAGCAATAGCGGTGACAGTGGCCACAGCAGCGACAGCAGCAGCTTTCGCTCCAACTACAATCAGTACTTGCATCACAGTCGCCAGCATTTGCTGTCCAAGGGGAATGGCCATGGCAATGGGCATCACTTCTATGCGTTCTCCTCGTCCTGGCGCTGGTGCAGCCTCTTCTGTGCGGCCATGCGTTGCTTTGGGGCTGGCAGTGGTGGTGGTGGTGGTGGTGCAGGAAATGCACCGTACAGCAGCTCACTGCAACATCATCGACTGAGACGCTGCTCGTCATACAATGCGGAGAATGCATATGAGCATTTTGCGGCACCGTTTAAGCCGCGCAAGACGCGCGATCATATGAACAACATTACGTACGAATTGTGACGGTGGTCCGCCAGTGATGTTGTGGTTAATGATCTCTTCGTCTTTGTTGGCCTACTCCAAACTCTACTGCTCCTTAGACTTTTATTACAATTACTAGCTATAGCCCATAGATGTCGTCGTCGTCGTCGTGTACTGTCTCTCTCTCTCCTTATCGTTGTTTATTCAAATATTCTATTATAATAATAATAATAATATTATAATCTAAATAAGGAGAGCCGCAAGATGCCGGTTGGGAATAATCAAAATTGGAGCCAGTTTTTGATGGTGATTTTAATTCGAATTAAAAAACCAAAATATAATACAATGAATAAACCCCTAAAGCCCCTGCCCCCCATCCCCCCCTTCCCTTCTCTTGACGGTGAATGCATTACATTACATTTAAAATTACAATTAAATTGCGCTCGCGCGTTTATTTAAGTGTTTAAGCTTAGTTAATTTAAAACAAGATTCAAAACTCCAATTAAATTTAAATATACAAAATACATATACATCATAGATAGAGTATACTTATTTATTATGGAGAATCTTTCCGGTTTTTGTTAATCTTCATTTGTATTATTCTGTACGTCCGGTATATCCACATACCACATGGCATTCTCCTCGACATTATCGCTCGGTTGGGCCGTTTGCAGTTGACATGGCAGCTGCTCGAAGCGGTAGCTCATCTCCATGCCGTTCTGCTGCAGCAATTCGAACGCCGCTGGCTTCAGGCCAAGCGTCACAAATGCACCCCCTGTCCTGGTGACGATGCACTTCAGCATGTCCCACGTCTCGGAGTGCAGATCCCTGTTCTGCTCTCGCAGCAAACTGACTGCAGTCTTCGGCTTCACTCCTGCAGCGCGCGGTAGGTGTATCGTGACAATCTGCAAGCTGGGCAAATCGTCTTCAGGGCAGGCGCGTAGCAGCACCTTGTCGAGAACAAGGACCTTGGGCACCGCAAGCTCCAGCCACTGCTTGGATTTGTCGTCGCGGCATTTCACAATCAGCAGGCCGTTCCTGAAGTGGATGCCAGCAAAGTTAATGCTGTGGGAGCAGCCTTTCAGCATCTCCGCGACGAGAGCTTCCTCCACCTTTGTCGCCTCTTCTTGGGTGAGGAGTTTTAACGGGTATCCTGTGGCCAGAATTGCCACATCAATGGTGCCACATCCCTGTGTCTCTGGGGATTTGTTGGCTCGCTTTGGGGCCACAGCTGTCGCTGGACTTTTGGCCTTTCGCTTGAGGCCGCCTTTCACAGCCGGCGTAGACATAATTTTCTGCTTTATTTTCTCGAGCTGTTGATAAGCCTCCGGATCTATGGCCCTCACCCTCGCCTCTTCCGGTCTCATGCCATCCCTTAGGTAGCGATTGTAACGTTTTCGAGCCTTTTTTTGCAGACCCTGCTTATGTGGATCGTCGTCCGTGCCCGCCACTTCTTGTTTGACTTTAATATTTGTTTTTTTATTTTGTTTTGACATAGAAAATCCCACGAGTGTAGGGGTTAGGAGGTCCACCGTGTCATAGCCCCCGATAACACAGCAAGTCCTGAAGTACTCAACGAGGCGGACAGTTATCGCTGAGGCTCCGTGTGGATACAGTCGTCTACCACCACTACTACTACCACCCCCCGACTGCAAGCCAAGCCAATGGGCACGGATCGCATAACACCCTGGCTTTGGGGGCACCCACCAACCATGTCCATCCTGCACTTACGCTATGCCGCACCATGGTAGGGTGCAGTGGATGCTAACACAGGCTCGTGACAGGATGGACTTAGCCAGACCCTTTCTGAGCAGCACAGCACAGAAAACTGGAGGTCTGTTGCCTAGCCGACACCCTCGCAGAGGGTTCAGTTGGGGGATTTTTGTCAGCCAATTAAAACAAAATAAATTAAGTTAGAAATAGTTTTCCTCCTTCTGGGCTATAAAAATGTGCAATAAATATTTAAAATAATTTATCAAGTACTTGGCCTCTGCTGTCTCATTGAAGTATTTGAAGCTCTTTGCTTGGCAATAAAAAAAATTACATTTCTCATAATAAAACGATTCTTGCGTGTTGCTGTCTCCACCGACATCCAACAACATCCTGCTGCAGCAGGCAGCTTTTGGCCATCAGGCTGCGGTTGACGGTAATTTGCAACTGTCAAGCCGGGGCTGGCTGTCAGGCTAAGTTGCGCCTAAAAATGAAGAGTAATGATGATGAATGCTAAAATACGCAAATATCTTTCTTTTGGCCACGCACACACACATGCACATACACACATACGCAGACACATTTCACTGTCAAAAATGCCCGACCAAGTGCAGCTATAAACCATTTTTCGAGGCCAAGGAGCTGCTGCCGTTGAGGAGCGGAGCGCATTTATTTTTATTTTTGTTGCCACTTATGTTGCCCCGCATTTGCCGATTTCTCAAGTCTTACTTCGGCCTCCCCCCTCCTCTTTTTTTGGGTCTTTTTTTCGGCAACATATGCAAGTAATTTGATTAAATTATATAATTACAGGGCCCAGAGACAGAACAGACATGAGATGCGAAGACGGTCTTGACTTTGACGAACAACAGCACAGCAAGCAGCACGCAAAATGCGAGACAGAAAGAGCGAGATAGAGAGCGAGAGAGACCATTTCCATGACCATGCCACATTTTGGGTTAAGTTGATGCGAAGCCGCCTCGTTGTGTGCGACACTCTCTGCAGGCCGGGACTAGTGCAATTTGTATTTTCAAACAACGACAAATAAGCACTGGGCACGGCCTACATCAGGTGACGTTTTAATGCATCCACTGCACACCACTCCACTCCACTCCACTCCTTTCTCTGTCCTCTCATTTGTGGCACTTTCAGTGGGCTATATCAATAAGAGGCACCGACAGGGGTCCAAGAAGAATGTCCAAATGCCATATAAACACTGTAATTACACGCGCATAGCACCTATGGGAGAGGCTGTAATTTAATTAAGAAATATATAGACACATTAATAAAAAGACGAGAAAACTAGACGAACAGCTGGAGGCAAAAGGAGCGGCAGAGGCGACGTGCCACCAACCACCTAGGGGCCACCACCCAGCGTGTCCAAATAGAGGAGTGTCCACCGGACTGCACATACTTCATTTGGGGAATCGTTCGGATCGCCGCGTTCTTCCCATGGCCAGTGCCATCTTCTAGTTTGCATCTCGCAGGCATGTACATGCATTCCATTAATGGCAAGTCCATTGATAATCACATCGTTGATTAGGCGTTGCAACGCGCATTACATCAATCAACATCCTACATTTATGTGTGGGAAATGTGGCACATTTTCCTCTGGTATGCAACTGCTGCGTCTCACCAGGTGGGCAGCAGTTTGCTCAGGTTCGCATCGGTTCGGTTCAGTAGAGTAAATTTGCTTCTTAGGTTGAAAAAAATGGTAGAAAAACCTATAAAAGGAAGAGTGCACATATTAAAAATTAAACCAAATGTTTACAGGTATTATAATTATATAAATTAGCTACGAGAAAGTCCTGAAATATTACCAAAGTTTTAAATGGTTCATTTTTGTGAATATTAACTGTATTCTCTTTAGTTTCAGCTTTCATTGTGGAGTGCTGTTTAATTTTTTCATTCACACTTCTAATAAACTTAAAAGCAAGGACACAAATTAGCATTAATTTCAGATTAAAATAACAGTAACTTTAAATTGGCGCGACGTCGCAGTGCTGGACAACGTTTTAATGGTAGAGCTGCACAATCAATCGATGTTTCTATCGATAGGGCGCGCACAAATGTCTTTTCAAACATTTTCTTTGCGTTGTCTTTTGACTACTGTTGTTAATTCCTCTTAAGAGGATGATTTTAATATTTCTACACCCATATTACCGTTCTCTTAGCAACAACGACAGATTTCTTGCTCCCCGGACCAACTGTTTTATAAAAGTCTATATATTTTATATATATTTATCAATAGCGTAACAGATTTGCACATTAAAAGTACATAGTTGGGCTCCACCAAGTTCGGTTGTTGGGCTAAGTGCTAGGCAGTGGGTAGAGTAGCACTGCCATTGAATGGAATCAAATACCTTTGTGTTAATTTCCCACTAGTGCAGAAATGGAGATTCTTTCTGGTAGAAATCCATTTATGTATCTTCGATTATGGATGGGCGCCCCTTTCTGTATATCATAAAAAAGTAACTCTAATTCTAATCTTCGTCTTCCGAATCACTGCAATGATCGGTCTCCTCCTTGTGGACCACCTTCTGACTGCCGATGGTGCTCTGAACAAGCTCGCGGGTGAACTTCTGTACCAAAAGCAAGGCCGTCTGAAGCGGCAATTCGGAGAGGGAGTGGGCCATGAACTCGCCAAAGCCATGGAACTTGGCATAGGCATTCGAAGTCGTGGATGCTGATGCCTCAGTGGGTGTTGGCACTGTCGGGTTGTAGTTTCGTGACTCATCAGGTCTGCGCTTAGCTGCTGTCTCCTCCTCCTCCTCCTGCGCGTCATCCTTATCATCGGGTGCTTGACGTTTGGCGGCTGCGGTGACTTTACTGATGACAAGCGCCTGCTGGCGACTCGGTAAGCTGTAGCTCCTGCCATTGGTGGCACTATTGCCATTCAAAATCTGTCTGTGGCTCCTGGTCGGATAGCTACCGTCCTCCGATGAGTTGATCGGAATGCTAAAAGAAGGCAGACTGGATGAGCAACGAGCTGTGCGGCTCGACAGGGACTGTCTCTGGCACTCACGTCAGCACTGTGGTCACTGGCAGCGTTAGATCGTGATCAAAATCGTCATCATCCAGCTCATCCTTGATGCTCGCCACCTGCCCATTGCTGTCGCTCATGCCGCCGTCGGGCTCGTAGGTGTCATCGCCCGACTTGGACACATTCTTGAAGCTGCGCCGGCTGCGGATGTGATTGGCCAGGAAGTGAAGGCTCTCGAACTGCGGCCATTGCGAGTGCTGCGTATTCACGCCACTCTCGATGCGACGCTTCTCAATGTTGTAGCGGTTCCGCAAGTTCAGCATACGCTCCTTCAGAACGGAAACTAAGGGAATAACAAGCCGATATTAATCTCTGTGCGGATCGATCTGCAGTCAGGCTGCTCCTCCTGCTCCTCACCATCGTAGCCGAGCTTGTGCGAGATTTGCAGCCATTGTTGGGCCACGAACGGCTTGTCCTTGTAGCGTTTGTACGCGCGGTCGTACAGCACTGGCCGGGAACGAAACTCACGGATTAGGCCGACATCGAACTCTCCCGTTTGCGCATACGAAGCGCGAGGCCTGCCACGGCCCTTTGGCGCTTGCGCTGGCAATTTCAAGGCTTGTTCCATTGGGCCTAGCCCTGGCCCCGGCGTATGCGCTACCTCTTCCATTTTGATGCTCATTTGATCCATATACATGAAAGCGGTGTTTTCTATAAAGTGCAATGGAATATTTATAATTATTGCTTAATTAATAAATTAATTATAATTAATTAATTAGTTAATAAATGCTTAATTAATAAATTAATTATAATTAATTACTTATTTAAGCGATTTTTTTTGTAGCACAATTTGATATCTGTCCTAACTTGGTTGATAGCAAAAAAATATCTTAATTTACGCAACAGTAAAAATAAAAAAAAAACAATAACATTTTTTTGTGATAACGAAAACGTCAGCAGCGAAGTAGCAGCGCAGTGGCAGCCATATGAACAGCGCAGTAGCAGCACTAGCAGCAGAGACCGCAGCCGCAGCAACGGCAATAAAAACAAAGCCAGAGCGAACAAATGCTGTAAAAAAATATCAAACCCAAAAAAGAAACAAGAAAAATTAAACGGAAATGATGCTGATGGCGACGCCGACTTTGCTGTGCAACTGCAAAGCCAGCAGCATTAAATGGAATTTTATGTATAAAAAAATGGAAAACTTTAAACATTTCTCATGCGAGAAGCAGAGTAAACTAGACAAAAAAAATAAATACAGTCTCACATTATTTTCGGCACATTCCTAGCACTGTTTACGCTTTAATTATATTTCGCTTAATTTATTTTTATAGATTTACACTCACCTCGAACGATTTTCCTGTATATATTTATTTTAAGTATGCTATGTGTGTGTGTGTGTGTGTGCTTGTGGGCAATTGCGCGCTCTTTTCTCTATCTATAATATATTCACATTGTTGTTACTTTAAAAAATCAATATGAACGTAAATAAATTAATTAAGGAATGGCTGCGCAACGATGTCAGCGGTGGCCGTCTGGTCCGGTCTCACACACACACACAACTAGTCGCAGCGAGAATATTTTTTTAAGTGAAGCCAACATTTGTTTTTATGTTTTATGAATAACGAATGGAGAGGTACAGCTGCAAGCATCGATAGTACTATCGATATCAACGTCAATTTAAAACTACATATTGAGATACAAGAAAAAACACACACACAACCGGACACAACTGGTCGCAGCGAGAATATTTTTTTAAGTGGGGTACAGCTGCAAGCGTCGATAGTGCCTATCGATATCAACTTCCATTTAAAACTACATATTAAAAGAAAAGAAAAAATACACACACAACCACAAGGCAGGGGGTCAAACGAGTACTAGAGATGCCACCGTGTCGTGACTGGTTCGAACGTGACTGGCAATAATTATTTGTATTATTTTTATTTCCGGTTACTTCTCCTTCTTTCTTTACAATAAAAACATGTCGCTGGGAAAACTTATATTGATTTGTTTTTGCGTTTGCTTTGAGTTTAACACTAGTTAAGATGTCAAAAAATAAACAAATTATTTAATTAAATTTGCATCACGCGGACATCTCTGATAGTTTTTGGCTTCGCAACCTGAATTTAACGTTGAGCGCGCGTTTTGAAATGTCATCGAAAATGTACTTGGTAGCGTAGAAACATCCAAGGATTGTTATATCTTATCTATTTTTTGCACTTAAATAATAAAAGCTCACCCAAGTGGCAGCTATTTTCTCCTTTTAATTCATCAAAACGGTACAGCGCTGCAATAAAAGAAAAAATATTTGTTAAGTAAAAGGAAATATGAGCCCATTTTTTTATGTAAATAATTTAGATGAGTATTTTTTTGTTGCTACTCCTACGATGTGTATGACAAACCGCCAATAGGCCGGGACAAGTGCAATGTTTGTTCAAAAATTTAAAACGTTGACACCTTCCCGTCCTACCGGCAATTTGTATTGTATTTTGAGTAGTACTGTAGTTTGTCCTACAGGATATGTGTACATATGTATGTATGTATGTATAACGAAACAGCACAGGAATATAAAGTTTCAGCAGTACACGAAAAATCTTTATTAAAATTAAATTCCCGCCCAAAAAATTCGAGCAAGTATTTCAACAGGTAGGTAAACGTAAACGACAAACAAAGCAGCTCTCAAAGCCCTAAAAATCTCATATTTCAATAGCAGACAACAACAGCCAAAAAAAAAACTGCATTTCAGATTAAATTTCCGCCCCTACTTGAGACTCGGCTCTCACATGTCTCTGTGTCCTTTGTGCGGGCGGAGAGCAAAGCAAAGCAGCAAAAAAAAAAAAAATATGCCCAACAATAGTCGCAAAAAGGATCCTCCTGGACAGAAGTAGGAGCAGAAGCTGGAGCAGCACCACCAGGATCAGTCCGGCTTAAGCAGGTAAAATTAAACTCTTGGCAAAATCAAGCGTTAAATGCCTTTTACTTACGCCTCAAATCATTTGAGAACAATACATACAGATATCTGGGATACATATATACATACATATATACTCGAATGCTGGGGTGATCTCCATTAACTCAAGTTGGCCAACATCAACAAAATCTGAAATCCAAAGCGTGACAAATTCGTAGAAACAAAACCCTCGGCCGCGGCCACTGAGCTGATGATCCGATCGGAAGAATTGCCATAGCATCAGCAGAAAAATGACTCTGTGAATCACACTAAAACTCGTGAAAATCTTAGCAGAGTTCCGTCCTCATCTCGTGCCTCAACATGGCTCTCAATTTCTTCAAGTGTGGGTCTGGGGCTGGGACTGGGACTGGAACTGGAGCCTTATCTTCCCGAAAGAAGCCGCGCACAGAAAATAATCATAATATCGAAGAGGGGAAAATGAGCATGGCTCGTATTTGTTTATTTACTCGCTGCGGGGGCTACAAACGGCATTAGAGGAGATTTTAATGCTGTTCCCTATGACACACACACACAACAGCAAAGCAACCGCAACCGAAAAACGAAAAACGAACAAACTCTGCAATAAATTCATATTTATTATTTATTTTGGTTAGGCAAATACGCCCCCAACGACATGAAGAGAGTCTCCATGGCTCCAATACTTTTGGTTGGAGCTTCTCATTGAGCAAATGAAAGGAATTGAAAAGCAGCGCAGCCAACGGTCGCAGCGTACGAGAACCCCACGACTTAAAGCCCAAGCGAACGGAAAGCGGAAACGCAAATAGACGAGCGATAAAAAGAAAAGAACCATAAAGAGTGGAGTGAAAAGAAACAAGAACGGCACATAAATTTCAAATAACTAATAATTCATTGAAAAAGTTGCCCAGCAATGGAATGGGACTTGAAAAAGGGGTGGAGCGGATGGGATCGGATCGGATCGCATCTAAAGTCTGAAGTGGAGCCGAGAGACAGAGGGAGGGCCGAGTTGGTGGTGCTGTGTGCTGTGTGGCGCTGTGTGGTGCACAATATCATGTAATAATATTTGCTTAAGCCAACAGCTGACATGGCAAGGCAATAACACAACACACTTCGATATCGCCTTCTCCAGATCCGACATAATATCCCCCAAAGGAATAAAGTCGTGGCATAGTGATAGAGAGGGGCAGACGTAGGGGTGGCGCCGTGCTCTGCCTACTAGTTTTTTTTTTTTTTTTTTTTTTGATAACCGACTCGTATCGATTGGCACTTCTTTTCGGTGAATTAATGTTTTTTAGAAATTTATTCTTTTGTTGGATTATTACCGAAATGGCATTGGAAATTGGGGGGGTTCAAGGAACTTGAATAATATAGCAAGCAAATAAATATATCAAAAATTGAGCTGGAAAAATCATTTGTAGCATTTGTAGATCAGAGTGGGAATGCGAGTCCCCATCAATTCTGCTCGCTTGATCTATGATAACCATTTCTCTCTGACTTTGCCATTTATCATTCGTGCTAGTTTTCACCTTGCCATCAGGCCCATTAAATATGTGATGTTCATTAAGGGCATTCACAGTGCGGTCTGTTGGCCTTTCTCCTGCAAACATTTATGATGGCCCGGGTCCACTCGGCCAGGCCAGGCCGGGCCTTTTCCTTTGCCTGTGTTTGGTCTGTTCTAGTTTGAGTAGAATCATTTTTAATGACTGTGGGATGGATGGAGGCGAGGGATAAGTGAACGGGAATGGGAATGGGCAGGGGAATGGGAATGGTCCATGTGTCCATGACTTCCAGCCAAAAACAGTTTGCATTTCCTATTGTTGTATTGCCTGATGTATTTGTTGGCCCACAGATCGGGGGAGAGTACAGAGAATAACTGTATTAAATGGCCAGTGCCTAGGACCAGCAGAGCAGACCATTTGGGAGGACCAGCCACCAACCAGCCACCACCAGCCACCACCAGCCACCAGACTTTGGTAGAAAGGTCTCTCTGGTCTCTGGGCCTGCCTGAGAACTTCTCTCGCGTGGCTGTTACAATTTCTAGCCGCAACCTGGAGGAGAGCCAGAAACCAGTTTCCTTTTAGCCAAGCCATCAGTCCCGTAGCATAGCACATAAAAGGCGTTCCACAGCTGAAGCTTGGGCCGTGCCTGGCTGTCTCATCTGTTGTCTATTTTGCAGGCGGGTTGCCTCCTCCCTGCAGTCGCCTTGTCTGCCTGATGATGCTGCTTGCTGCTGCCTGCCTGCTGCCTGCTCCTCTTCTGCTGCCTGCCTGCTGCCTGCTCCTCTTCTGCTGCTGCTGCTGCTGGGGGCCTGGTGCTGGCTCCAGCATGTTGCTGGCAACTTGTTGCTAACATACTGCCGCCTGAGCATTTTTGATTTGATTTGCTTTTTGGCCTTTTTTGTTGTGATTTATATACCCTACACGCAAGAGGGTCCCACAATTGTGCGATCCAGTAACAGTGGACGCCTCTTTTGGGTGTGTTCTACGGAATCAAGTATTCAGTTATATTCTGGCACTTTGAATCTGTAAATCACGTATGTACATATATAATCTGCAAGGGTATTCCATGTTTCTGCTTGCGTAGAACTCGAATATCTTCGTATTTGCTTTTGCCTACATTTGGTGTTTGGTCCCCAATGCAAACGTAATCGAAATGCAATTAAGATGCACACAGCCAAAGCCGAGACGCAGAGCTTGAGAGGCTGAGTGCGAAAGTTGCCTTGCATTTGGATAGAATTTTTTGACTTTTGTTTTGTTGCCACTTTTGGGAGGGTAGAGCCGAGAACCAAGAAACGTGGCTGCAATTTATATTCCTGGACAGTTTTTTAGAAAGTAGCATAGAGGAGTGCAGCAGGTCCCCACAGAACCCAGCAAAAAAAAGAAAAAAAAAGAATGCCATTCGAAAGGCGTTGACGTTGAGAGGAACGGAACGGAACGAATATGTGGCATAATTAAAGGGTTACGCCATGGCCACGCCAATCTCAATCTTCGTTCGATATATGTGGGGATCTCTCTCTCTCTCTCTCTCCTATCCCCTGTGATATGCATAACGGTGTTTTAATATGAGTTGGTGGCCGCACAAAAGGAGAGAGAACCCCACAAAGATTATGTCTTGGCATTGCCGTCTCCATCTCCATCTGCATCGTCTCCCCTCTGTCTCGGAAAACCATCCCAACCGACAACCCCCATATAGTATAGATACTTGTGTACTTGTATGTACTGGCCCCCGTACTCTGCCCCCGTAGTCCTTGTGCTGCCTTGTGTACCCTGTCCGACGACCGACCACTCATTTGGCTTTTGATATTGTTATGGCATAATATGGGCCGTGGCTGGTGCAATCATCAATCCAAATGGTCGGCCATCAGCGCATCGTTTATTGGGGTTTCAGTTCTTTCTAGAAGTTCTCCAATTGAGATTGCACGCCGACATACCCTACCCACATCGTTGCACCAATATGTTGTGGTTATCTCTGCGCCTCTAACAGCGTCCAATCTGCGCAGGTGAAGATGTCCAGAAATTACACGAATTTATTTCGAACGGTCTCTGTGGCAGTGTAGTTAAGTGTGCATCATGTAGCAGAGATCCATAGACGATGGGAAAACATTTTTCAGTGGAGAGTATACGACCAGGACCTGCCCAAGCCCCGCTCCTTGTTGCATTGCAGTTGCTACAAATTGCATTAGAAGATCATTTCCAACCGATCCGTTAAGAACATTCAATCATATGTGCTTCAAAAAATAATAAAAATAAATAGTTAACAAATTTAGTCATAGGTTAAACAATGGCTGGGAGCTGCAGACAATTGATTTTAATGATTTATACCCAATACCCAGACCGATAATGACTCAATAAAAGTTAGAATTGAAACGAGTTTACCCCTAAGCACTCAGCACAGAAGCCGAATGTTTCTTTCCTTATATTAGCTAGTTAAATTCTACATTGGAAATGCATTTTTATTATGCTTTCTACAGAGTGTTCTAGCAAGTAGTCAGCAAATTACCTTATGCCATTACGTTGCCTCTTTTTTTAATTGCCAAATAGTTGGAAAACGTGCTGTAATCTCGCTAGTGGCCAAGGCAGGCAGACAGACAGGCAGGCCAACAGCTCAATTACTTCATTGGCACACAATCTGCGGGCCAAAAGAGCCCGAACCCGAACCCGAATCCGAGCCCCAAGCAGCGCTGCTTGGCTTGATTTTGTTGCCAAGGAGCCACGGCCACGGAGCAAGGAAGGCTAATGATTATCGTTAAATATGCGCCATCTTAAGCCCCCCCTACCTACCTACCACTCCATGCCCCTGCTCAAAAGCCAATAACGTGAAGCAGAGTTCTCACACAAATTAAAATAGTTTTTTCTACGCAAATGTGTACCCAAATGTTTTTTTTTTTTTGTTGCTTTTGTTTGGGTGGGGGGATGCTCCAAATGTGGAATCTGGCATCTTGTTGAAGAATTTAAGCCTCGAATTTCACAGAGCAGCAACACAAAAAATGTAAAGAGCTAAGCAGATTTAAAGCTTCTTCTGCTTCTGCTTCATAGTTTATATGGGGCATATTCTCATATACAGACAGACAGAAAAGTATGTATGGATGTATGGATGTATGGGGGACCGTGTTAGGTATTCGATAGCGCCAATTTGATATGGCGGCAAGGAGCAGAGCATCACACACAAATTAAGTTTCCCAGAAGCGGGAAACGAAATTAAGAGAAAAAAACAAAGACAAAAACAAAAACAAGCAAAAGAATATACTACCTGAACGAAGAACCGAGAGATGTGCTGTATGTCTGTCCACAGCGGTATGGCATGGTATGGTATGGTATGGTATGGCATGGTATGGGTATCTTCCTTGCTTTTGGACTTTTATGTCCGTTCAGATCGTAAAGCAGTTAGCAACGCTATAAGGAAGAGAATCTCTCAAAAAGAAAGCTGGCAGCACAACTAAGACAAGCATCACAACGTGAAAATAAAACTATGTAAAAATGCCTCAACGGCGAAAGATGTGCCACAAAACCAAAAGGAAGATGTTTGCTCTGTAGCAGCAGGAACTTCATTTGCGCTTCTTCCAGAGTTTTTTTTTTTATGTTTGTGGATAGTTAAAAGAAATTAATGAGTAGTAAAAGAAAGAGTTCCACTGAGGAAGATAAATATTTCAAAGCAATCTTCAGAGAGAGAGAGAGAGAGAGAGGAGAGATAGAGAGAGAGAAACGAAATCAATATCCAATCATTAATCGTTAACTAATTCCATGAATTCTGGACAGACTCCCAAGCCACTCCACCAAAAGATTCGATTCGTCTGCCGCCTGCCTTTTGCCCCATTTACCAAGTTCCGAAAACGCAACCAGACATGCCACCATCGCCACTAAAGACATATATTTATGCCCCGAAAGCAACTTTTGGCGTATTTAGAACAGGAGAAACAACAAAAATTCACCAAAAATAAACCCACAGCAGACCGAATTTACCATGCCCTTTCAACTTGTTTTGTATTATTAGGTCGTTTAATTTGAATAAAACTTCCCATAAACCAAATTTTGATCGAGGATCTGCATGATTTTTTTTTAATCTACTTGTATTACAAATATCTCCAACACATTACAATACCCCAGCCAAATGGTGAGGGTATTTATATCAAGATAAAAATATTTTTTCGGGCTGCCCTTTTGGGACGCATGAGCTCTGCTCTGCCTCTCGCCTCCATGGACAGTGGCTATTTCGGGGGCCTCTGCCTAAACCAAGTATTTACTGTTGTTGTTGTTGTTGTTGTTATCGTCTGGAGTCTTGGCGTCCCTCTTCAGGGATCTTTGGCTGGGATCGGGATCTACTCCAACTCCAAGCTCCACTTCACATACACACACACACATACACACACAAGTGCGTTTTGAATTCGATTTCGTCGACAGCAGCAGAAAACGAAACAACAACAACAATCGACCATGAAACAATTTTATATTTTTGTGCAGAAAAAAGATCAATAAAATTTTACCGACAACTGTATTTGGTTCAGTCCGAAAGACCAAGCCCCACCACAGACCCACAGAGATCCAGAGATTCGGAGCAGAGTGCCCCTAAAATTAGTGACCAAATTGTCATATGAGGACAGAGGGGGGCCGGCAGGGTAGGGCATGGGGAGGCTGGATGGAGTATCGGGTCACATTTTTGGTTACAGTAATCATTCCACCAACAACAACCGAAAAAGATGAGGAGCAAAAAAAGCCGCGTTGTATGTGTTTCTGTGTGTCTGCTTCGTAGAAGTCGAAAGTGGTACAAAAAGTGGAGTTTCGTTTTGGGGATTTATGTGGGAGCAAGCAGTACGTGTTGCTAAGGGCGATGGGTAATAGGGGTATGGACGTTGTTATGGTAGAATCTATGGCAAATGTGTGTTTGAATAAATCAAAGATTGTGACAGTTTGATATGGACATGAGATAAATGCCTTAAGAGCTTTATCAGATCTTAAATTATTAGAAAACTTCGGCACGGGAATACAAATTTCGTAATGGCGCCCAATTACCCATTCGAAATATATACAGAAATCGGATTATTCTCTTTCCCCTTCGCCATCTTTCTTATAATTTTATTGCGGTGCTTTTACACATGTAGAACAGTTTAGAGCTGTAATATGTCATATAAAACTGTTTGTTTCCTAACTGTTCTACAACGCGAACACCATTTTATAGCAAAAGCAACCAAAAGAAAGTCGCCAACAGAGCTTTCCAGCCTCTCCTTCTCTCCTGGAAACGTGCAGTAAAATTCCCAGAAATTGCTGTGTGGGAGGCAGCCGGCACTAATGAATTTGTATGCAAACCACAGACATGGCTGCGCTCTCCCCTCCCTCCGCCCCTACCACACCCGCTCTTCGGCAAGTCACAGTCACAGTAACGGAAATGCGAGCGAAAAAAAGATGAAATTAGTGCAGACATCCAAAAGGTGCGTTTTGTTTGCTGATTCCCTTTTTGTTCTTCATCTTTTAACGATTTCATTTTTTTTTTAAATGTTTAATGATTTTTGATTTATGCAAAAGCAATAAAAATTATTATAATGAAGGCGCTGACATGGCGGCATGGCCTGACGGGGAAGAGCAGCGAAACAAAGTGGAAAGAGAGCTGATGATGGAGGATGGCAGAGAAGATGGAGGAGTAGGATGACGCTGCTTTTGCTGTTTTTCCGTTACTTCTTGAAGCTACCGTACAAGAGCGAGGGGAGGGAGACTTGGAGACCAAGAAAGAGCGGGAGACATCATGAGTCAGAGTGTTTGTTTGAGCGAGACAAAGAAATGTTTCTCTTTGTGCTCGCTCTCCCTCCGAAAAGCACATGTAAATAAATCAAGAAAGGCGACAACGGTCCCCCTCCCGCGCCATTGGGAGGGGGGGACAGTACACAGAAATGTTTGCAGCAACAATGTTATCTTTTGCGTCGTAATGGTCGTTCACGTTTTCATCTTTTTCTGCAATATTGATTCGTTATGTCACGTCGAACCAAGGGAAGAGTGAGAGTGGTCGTCCATTGCATAACATACATAGCTCATCTAAGTCCACCTTTCTTCATTCCAACCAAAAATTCTCTCCAGTTGCACTTTGGACATTAGCTGTAATTATTTCACTGTATGTGTGTGTCTGTCTTTTGGAGACTTAGGCTGCACCCAAAACGCCAAACGGTTAAACATAAAAAGCTAACGGCAGTTTTATAACTCAAGCATAGGATTACCTTTTGGGAGTGCACTCGACATCAGCGCGAGATCTTCAGAGTTCCAGCGGCAAAAAAAATGAGCGAAAAACCATTTCGGCAGCGACGAAAAATGTTTTTTTTTGCGCCAAAGCGAAGGCGGTGGATGGTGGATGCGGAGGTGGAGAGAGATCCCCAAAGATGATACACAAGCAATCAAAAGAAATGCAATGGCGCTGCCTTTTCCATCCTTCTCTCTCTCTCTCTCTCTCTTTCTTAACCCCTCTCATTGCAAAACTGCACTTGCCGATGCACCGTTAGGCTGCCTGCGCACTGGGGAGTTGAGCCGAGTTCAAGATCATCACCGCCGCCGCCGCCGATGTCGGCGCACCCAGAGTGCTAAGCACTCAAATTGTTGTTGTTTTTGGCACATTCTTGGATCTCTCTATTTCGCTTTACTCGTTTTACTTGTCTCTTGGCACTTTTACACAGATAACAAATTTTTCCCTTTTTTGGAGGAGGACGAAAGGGCACTTTGTTCTAACGGTTCTGTTCTACAGTTATCAAATATAGAAAGACGCGGCACAAACACACAAAATTGAACAGTTTAACAGTGTCTTACCACACGATCGCTTTGCTTTGGCTTAAGCTTTTAAAACATTTGTACAACAATTTCGAAAAGAACGATGTTCGACTTGTGCCCAGAGGATAGATCTCCTTTCCTCCAGGAACACAGAATATAACAGAACTTGGTCACTTCAGAGGAGGAACGGAGCGACACAACCGTTGCCGTCAATGGCTTTGCGCGCAATTGATTCGTCCGCGACGGCGACTTGGCTCGTAAGCCACAGCCACAAAACATACAAAACAACTCCTGCCGAAAGCGACAGCGACAGGCAGGCAAACACAAGCAGAGAACAGACAGCGGCAGCAGCAGCGGCAGTGGCTTCGGCATCGGCAGCGGCTGCAGCTACAACTACAGCGTCGGGGCGACAAAGCGACAAAGAGCGACTCGATCTTTCGGCTACAGCTGCATACATAGGGGTTTCTTTTTATTTTTGCTCCTCTCTCCGAATGCGCATGCGCCGAAGCGTATAATACCCTCTCAGGGCCGCACGTAGGCCAATGGAAATTGGAAACTGTTGGAATAATACGAGAGAAATGTTCTGGAATGGAGTGGAATGAGTGGAAGGTTGTGGAAAAACGGGAGTATGAGTTAGTTGTTGCTGTTGGAAGGATATTTAGACAGGGATGGAGATATCATAATGTAATAGCGAAGCTTGGCATAAAAAGGGTTTATTATAATTCGGAAAGAATAGTTCTGAAATAACCTAGACTGACTTGAGGGCTATGGAAAACACAGGTCAGATAATATATGGAAATAGAAATTGGATTATTTTGACATATTTATTGAGCAAGAGAGATCAAGTAAAAAGTCTGTGAATATAAGGGGAATGGAAGTTGAGTTGTACATCAATAAAATTAAAATCAGAGCTTGTATATTCCATTAAAATCTTATCTTAACTTAAATATATAAACAAAATGAATCTCACTCTGGAGAGAATTAAACAAAATGCGTTTTCATGAACGCAATAATTATAGTAAACAAACTTTGCAGACAAACTGAAATTTGTAGTTGATCGGATGTAGAAATTCCCTTAAATATTTGTTGGATATAAGATCTGCTTTCAATTAAGTTCCAATTCCACTCTACAGTCTCTACAGCCAGATTCCCCAATGACTTTATCTTTTGTATCCTTCTCAAATGACTAAAATATCCACAAAAGTTCCAAAAAAAAGGCAGCCAAAATTAAAATAAAATATTAAGTTCAAAAAAAATGTTGTCCAGTAGGTTGAGTTCAGGCTCAACTAATGATCGCCCAGAGCTGGCGGCTGTGGTTGGTAAAAGTTGCGAACCTTGGGCCCGGGGACAACTCCATTAGGGCGGCCCACATTTCGTATCAGTCGACTGAGCAGGTGCGCTGGGCCCTGGCCTCTGGATGGATGGATGGATAGAGGAGAGTCGCAAGGAAAGTTGGGGCGCGTGGCTAGAGAGATCGGAGGTGTAAGACGCGACCCGCATATCGCATCAGGACAATCGATGCAGCACGAGACATGTGTGTGCGGACAGACACCAAGACGGAATCGGAGTCGGAGTCGGGGGGGCTGGTCCTCAATTTAGCATAGCAGAGGCATCATTAAACACATTAACAGACCTACAGACAGTTGGCGATGACGATGGCGATGGCAGGTGATGCCCAAACAGAGACAGGTTGAGACGACAGGCGTCCCCCGACTTGTGACTGGCCGTTCCTGAGGGCAACTGTACAAACAGCAGGCCGAAGTTCGTGAAGACTTTTAATGGGTTTAGCCCGTGCCCTGAGGCTTCTCTTTCTTTCTTTCTCTCTCTCTCTCTCTTTCTTCAGTCACTGCTTTCTGCCTCTGTCTCTGTTCTCACTCTTTTGTTAATTACAAAGGATGCGCCGCAGGATAACAGCTGCCAATTGAATACTATACTCCTTCTGACAGCACACACCCTTCCTTCCCCTTCCCCTTCCCAGACCAGATCAAGCTTAAAGTTTAAGACGCAGCTGTACCTACTTAGATCTTTTGTGATCCTTCCGACGCGTAACGCATATTCTCATTCTCCTTCTCCTCCTGCGTGTTTCTCTCTGTCTTTCTCTCTCTCTCTCTCTCTCTGTTTCTCTCCTTTCTAATGAATGTTATTGTCTGGTCTTTGAGCAGGGGCCTGAGGTAGTAGCGGCTGCGCGGCATCGAAGGTTAAGCATCCAGCGGCGAAACTAGTTTACCACCATTCCGTTCCGTCTTTGAGAACAGAACCCAGAACCGGTAACGGTACAAAGACTCTGCTGCTTCTGTTGTTGCGCCTGCCCTGTTCTACCCTCCTCCCATCTGAATGCTCCTTGCAAGCGTTCGAAATTATGTTTTGATTTTTTTTCCGTTTTGGCCAGAGCCACAGCCACAGCCAAAGCCAAGCAAGCGCAAACCTCCTAACGAACCATACCAAATTGTCTAATCTCGCGCGAATGTCTTCACACCCATATTTCCGAAGCAGCCTGGACATGGGCCCTTAGACCCTGCCCTGACGAGTGCCTGCCAAAAGGGCGACAAGTCGTAAGAATATTGGAATTCGCCCGGAATTCGTTCGGGTTGCCCTATTACATTATCGTTTACATGCCACCGTCCAAACCATGCATACCTCCCCTCCCCGTCCTTCCCTGCCTGCCCTAGCATAGTGTTTGCCATTACATTTACCCTTCAGGGCCATTACATAACCGTGGAACGGCTTTATTAATTTGTTGTAATTTGTTTATGTTTTCTAAGCAATTTATTATCCATGCACCCTGAATGCACCAGGGGGTTTAGGGTTAAGTACGGGACACCAAAAAAAAGGAGGAACGATCTGTATCATCACTCAATATTTGTTGATGGAGTGAGAAGGCGTTCAAAAGTGTAGGGAGGGTGTGTTAGCTCAGCAAACAATTATCAAGTTAAAGTAGAACTAATCCCCATCAAAAGTAAAACTTTGCAGAAATTACTTAACTTTTACCGATACAGCCAAATGGAGATTTCAGATATATTGGATCAAAATAGGAACACTATAGTATTATGTGTGGAGATGTGTAGCAATCGATCACAAAGATTGCATCTATTCGACTTCCATGGCTACCTCTCTATAGTATTAGGGCTTGGATTCTTAAGCCGAAACGATCGTTTGTGGATTAAAGTTTTCTTTTTCTTCAGCTGAAATTCATACCCTTTTATTTGCCTTGTAAATATCCCTTACCATTTTAGCTGCAGCATCCCCTCGTTAGCTGTAACTCAAATGTGTCAATATCATGGGCTCTACGTATTGTTGCATGGCATTGCCATTCATATAAATATTTTTAATAAAGTTATAAATCTGAAATCAAAACATAAATGTGACATTGATCTACAACCCAAGATCCCCGAGACTGCGCCGCCTGTGAACCCTTTTTTGTTTCCCATCAAAGAGGAGGGGGACACTTTTGCTGTACATTTTTTGGGCAATTTCTGTTCTCTTCCCCACATTCAAAGCCAGAGCGGTGGCGGGGGCGGGGGCAGAGCGGATGGAGCAGATAAACTTTATGACCGCAAGAGAGCGCGTATCAGAGAAAATAAAATCAGACAAGAACAGCATGTGAGAGAGTTGAACTTTTGCTGGGAAGAAAGAGCATCGGCGGCTGCTGCAGAATCTGCCTGCCTGTACGTTAAAATATCTTGATGTTTTCGAATGGCCAGCAGCTGCTTCTTTTTTATACGAAAAGGAAGCTAAAGACAAACGGATATGCGTTGCACATCAAGCAACTGTTTTTTTCTTTTTTTTATATTGTGGCTTTTCTTGTATTTTTTTGGTGGTTTTTGCTTTGCTTTTTTGGGCTTTTTTACGTCTTGGGCGCAAAATAAATTGTGCGACAGGTGCGACAACGACAGCAGCCGAAACGAGAGCAAGAAGCAGCAGATGAATAAGTAGTGGGAAGCAGCAGAGAAGAGAGAGATGCATTGCATCTGGAAAACAGGAGAGCGAACACTCAGAGAAAAGAATAAGGTATGAGCCATGTATTATTATAAAAATAAATACATAAATTCAGTTTGAACAGTGATTCAGATTTCTTTGAGTGTACAAAAGCAGAGCAGAATAGAGCCTGGGAAGCAGAGCTCTGCATTGCAGAGCACAAGAGAGAGCAATGCCTGGCAGGAGCCGAAGAGAGGACAGAGGCAGTACAGCAGCGGAGAGCGAGCTTGTTGTGTGGGAGCGAACGAAGCTTTCGATGGGAGATTTTTGTGTATTTTCGATATGGCTTTTTGGGGACTTTTACAGCTGCGTCTCGATAATTGCCAAGCATGCATTTAATTCTCCTTACATGGATCCAAGGCGCAGCTGTTACTTCCGCTTGAATGGACACTGTAAGGGGTTTCCATGCAGAGATATAGAGACAGCAACCGAGATGGAAATCCTTCTTGTAGGCTGTTTGTTGAGATCGATCCTTTTTCTAACTCTAATCCGGCAGACAAGCAACAGACACAAGGACTTCTACCTGCACCTGAGGATGAGTCTGAGTCTGAGGATCGGAGTCTGGCGAGTCTCTCAGACTGAACGTTTTCATATTTATTTTGATCTGTTGCGGTGATCTACATGCATGAACGATCCCGATCCCGATCCCGATCCCGAAACTCGAAATGAAATCCGTCTGAGCCCCGGGACTGGTGTGGCCTATTGAATTAATGTGCCGCATTAGGCGGACCAACAGGTTTCGCTGCAACCTTTTTTTTGTGTTCCCATCAACATCAACAGGATCGAATCGAATCGACATGAAAGAGCGAAAACCCATCGCGGACGCACACACGTAGTGCTCCTAAATAACAGGTGTGGAATGATTGGTTCCTCTATGATCCTGCAACGGGCGGCGTTGGCTTACAGGGGATTCCTGGTAGCTGGCCCTGGGCCCTGGCCCTGACCGGGGCACGTAGCAAATCGATGAAGAATGAACCTTTGGCCGAGAGCTGTGATCTCTCTCTTCCTGGGGGTACAGTTGTGCTACCTTTTTGTTTTGGGATCGGTCAGAGACGAGTAAACCGGGCCAAGGCAGATGTTTGCTTTGCATATCGCCAAACGATCGGATCGTATCGTACGTACAGCATTTCTACTTGCCTTCTGTTTTCGCCTTCGCCATTCTCTTCATATTTTGCATTTCGCAAAACAAACACACACAAAAAATAAAAGAAGAAGAAAGAATGAAGAAACAAAAGCCGCTCAGTCAGAGGCAGACAAAAGG